GGAAAGGTCATTTGGTGCTATTGAACACAGAACCTATGAAAGCAGCATGAGGACATTTCCCATTTAGAATCCATTTGCTGAAACAGGCCTCCTCCCCCGTTACATATACCCACAAGCTGTAACAGCAGCAGAATGTTTGAATTAGCCTCACTTGTCCTGCCAAGCTCCAGTTAGACTATAGAACAAATTATACATTCTAGATGTGTAAGTGAAGGAAGGCTCTAGACAAGCACTGAGGTACAAACTGTTTTTTGAATATCCCAAAGGTTGGGACTGCTCAGATGCAAGGATTTAATTCTCTGATCCTATGGTGATGGATACAGTAGAAAGGGGTAAATAGGTAGCTTTCGATTACCTGCTGTAAAGATAGGAACCATTTATAACATTCAAATCCCTCCAGAGATTCTGAAGCCTTTCAAATCCAGTGGTGTTTGGATCAGAGGGGAAAAGTTGGTTTCATATCATCTCTACATACAAAAGCAAACAAAAGCCAATTGTGATAGAAGAAGGGAAATGGGGATGATTTTATTTGTGAATAAAATTGGTGGAATAGTATTAATCAACTTTTTAAACTCCACAATATGTTGGCCTCATTTTTCATCCATGAGCCATTGAAAGCCCAATCCCATTTGCTGTCAATAGGTAGGGGCTGAATATACTTTCACAAAACTAGACACTCATTTGCTGTCACTGAGTTTCTGGGCCTCATTTTAATGAATGCTGAGTACCCAAAACTCCAGTTGAACTCAGTGGAAACTCAGAGTGCTCCGAACCTGTGAAAATCAGGCCCCAAAGGTCTCAGGCTGGGCCCCCAAAGTTTGAAGAATCAGTCATCAAAGATGAAAATAAATAATGTCCTGGTTGATTCCTTCCAATATGTCCCCTGGGATCATTGGTTAATGGAGGTATGTACTGATCCTGCAGAGACATTATTGACATAAAAGTTAATAATTTATTGCCATACACTGGATAATTTTTCTAGTTTCATGAGAAGAGAGGATAGATTTTTAAACGTTGCCTTTTTGTGCCAAAACTATTTCCAACTGTTAAACTATTGGTCTCAGTTCTATAGAGTGAATAAACTTCTTGCAAAGCAAGTGTGCAGGAAAAAGCATGTGAAAAATTCCTACCAGCAGCAACACAATTTCCAGTAATGTGGCATCCATGGAAAAGGAAATGGTTTTCCCCTCTCAATTTGAAAAATAGGCAATGTCTGCCAGAAGGAAAACCCACTACATTCATGCCTTGAAAATGGTCATTTTGCACAGACCTACAAGAGCAATCACAAAGGAAAACAACTATCATTCATGGCAGTGAAAGCTGTCAAATCACTAATGGCCCTGGAGATTCCTAAGCATTTACATTTTGCTGAATAGAACAGCAGCCCACTTCAGAGTGGAGGAGAAATGTGGCCCCTCTTTCAGTCCTGCAACGGAAACAAGATATTTTAAATATTAAAGCAAGCAGATGTTATCCAAAGGCCCTCTGCATCACAGAGGCTCATTATTCACTCAGACATTGGCACCTGATTCTCTTGACACATACAGTGCTGCAAGCATGCAGGATAGTAACACAAAACCACTATAGAGTGAAGGGGTTTTAACTAAAGCTCATTGAATTATTTGTAGTGAGTAATAGTCCCAGTGAATTTGGCCTTTATTTCCCACAAACACCCAGTGATTGGTTGAATATTCATGATTAAACCTCTATTGGAAGGTGAAAGAAGACTGGCCTTCAGGCACAAACAAAACACAACAAAAGGAGGAACAAAGTGCTGTTTCTTTAAGGCCTGCCCTTTGGAATGAGGAGTTGCACTGCCCTGACCAATTTCCAGTCAAACCCAAAGTTCTCCTCAGCTTGATCCAAAGGGGAAGCTCTTGTCAATGTCAGGCAGGCTTGCTGGTGAGAACAATTCTCTCAGGGGGTCTTCATGCTCCCAGGTTTGGGATTTGGTCTGGGAGTCTCCTTGGCTGTATATCATCTATAGACTTAATTTCTGCCCCCTCTGGTAGAAGGAGCTGGGCTGAGGCTAGCCTTCCCCAGGCATCCCCGCCCCCAAGAAGCAGGAGAACATTTTGTCATTCCATCCCCGAGCTACTTTGCCTTTCTGTTTACAACCTGCCTATGGGCTTGATTGAGAGTACAGAGCCAGGGAGTATAAACGAGTGAAGGCACAATGTCAGGCTACCCTAAACGTGAGTCAGGACCAGGGGAAGAGCACAGACTTTGTGCCTGATGATGATGCTCGGAGCCAGCAAAAGGACAAGGCAAGCTGCCAGGCTCCATCCTTACACACCAGTCAGTCACACAGGCTGGCAGAGATGAAAGCAGGGTGAAGTACATATGATGTCCACCCCCCACCTAGAACTGAATTGAACCAGAGGCCTTCTGCCTAGAACCATGTTTCTCTACAGCATGAGCTGGAGAGCCAGCTGCAGCTGAGACCAGAAATAGACACATCCTCTTGGGACTGGGTGCAGATACACACACAACTAGTGGATTACATATGCTGAATGAGATTATGGTCAAATGCAACATACTCCTGGTATGCAAGAAGGCATTGTGAAGCAATTGTAATTCAGAGGGAGAGTCTGAGTTGCATTTCATTCAGGGAACTCCTCCTGGAGCTGCTCAGTGATATATCATTGCTTAGTTGGGGATGGGAATACACTCATACTCTTGGCCCTTAAAGAGTCAAGCAGGTGATTTCTCTTCTTCCAGCAGACAGGCTAACTAGGCCAGGGCAGGCCCACCACCTAGTTCACTTGTCAGGCAGATAAGCCCTTTCCCACATGGCTCCGCTGTGGTATGTTCACACCACTAATAAAAGCAACCTCTGTGTAGAGCTATTATTCACTAAAATTGCTGCAAAAGATTTTTTTTTTTTTAATATTCAGGCAGCTCCAACTTTAAGGAAGGAGCTGAGATTGTACAGTCATCACGACAGAAGTGGCCAAACCCCACCAAAAATTAAAAGGCTGACTTCAGTACTTCTCTTGCCTCTTGAAGCGGATCACCATAAAGGTGATCACTTACAAGCTGAAGAGAGCTTGTTATCTTTTATCCACATACTTTCCAGACTGCAATGATTTGCTTAAAATCATTTAAGTCAAATGTGTTTGTGTGTGTGTGTTTAAATGAAGCAACAAAGTCTATAGATGATATATGTATGTCCCTAAGGAAGCAAGGGAGCCTGCCATTATAAATGTGTGGGTATGCAGAAAAGCGTGACTTAATTTTTTCGGTATGTTTGAGAAACGGTAGGATTTGTGTGATCCATCAAAGAGTTTTTTTCCACCCTACAGTGAAACCATGTGTTCCATCATGATCTGACACATGGGAGTTCCCGGGAGGCCTTTTCATCTCATATGAGATTATTGCTGTTAGGAAAGCAAATAGCCTGACATTTTAACCTCCCTGTTCTGTCACCTTAAAGTAACAATAGAGATGCAAAAATGAAGCTGTTAGATGTAAACTGAAAAAAAGATATTGTCACCCTGCCTTAAGAGAGAGTTTTTGGTTTCTCTGCCACCTGCTTATCTCCTTCGGTGAATTTTATTCTACGGAGCACGTTAGAACGGACAGGTCCATCCATCATATGGAGATTGGGTTTTTCTCCTTATAGCAGGCAGCATCTTCATTAGCATTAGGTTGCCTGGGAGAAAAATGAATTGGCCACATTAGAACTGTACAGTATGTTGCCGCTCAGATATTTTCATTTTAATGCTGCCAGCTATATTTGTTCATGCACAGCTCCCACTGGAGACTGTTTGCTGACTTGGATAACAGGACAAAGATCATACTCCTGTTACTGTTACTCACAAAGTAAAAAGATGATCCCTGCCCGTGGAGTTTACGATCTAAGCCAAGCAACAACAGATAGATACAGAGAGCCAGGGAGACCACAAGACAGCTTCACAGGTGGGCAGCCCCCGTCCCTAGCTCTGCATGTGAGCAGTAGGGACACTGCTTCAGAGAAATAATGATGATACTTGCCCACTTCTGTATCTTCTTCTATCTGAGGTGCCCTAAGCATTTTACATAGATTACTCTGAAGTTTTTCTTCATTTACAAATTTCTCTAACTAAGAAGATTAATGGACACTTATATTAGCCAGTCATTGAAATTATAGATGGAAGAGGAATAGTTGGAACACAGGGCTGAAAGCCAGATTCCTAAACCATATTTTCCTCTCTACAGCTTTTTGATTGGCCTTGGGCAAGACATTTAACCTCTTTGTGCCTTGATTTATCACATATAAAATGGGGATAATACCTCTCTCCTTCAAGCTGTCTACACAGTAGCATTATTTCAGAATAACTGACCTTATTCCAAAATGACATAATCTGTGTCTACACATAAGCAGTTATTTCAACATCATGTTGAGCTGGAGGACTGCTTACTCCGACTCCTGGAACCCTCGTAGTATGAGGATAAGGGGAGTCGGGGAAAGATGCTCACTCTCGAAATAACTGCTGTGTAGACAGAGCCAAAAGTCAAGTTTAGCCCGGCTATGTAGACGTGCCCTCAGAGAGGTGATGAGAAGCTTATTAAATGTTGTAGTGTTATCAGGGGGACCAACAGACTAGGCCGGTCCCCTGGGCAATGTGAGTGTGTGTGGGGAGGAGGTGGCTTCACAACCCTGGAATGAGTGGGTTCTTGGGCAGAAGGGGTGGGGCCGAGGCTAGCCTCCCCCTGACAGACTTCTGTGATGCCCAGAATGTGCCGCGTCTCTACTAGCCAGCCCTCAGAATGCTGCATGGAGCTCTGGCAGTGATTTAAAGTTCCCAGGGCTCCAGCCACTGCTGCTGCAGCAGTAGCAACATCCAGGAGCCCCAGGCTCTTTTGAATCACCTGGCCCCAGGGCAGTTCCCCTGCACTGCCTCTCTTCTCCCCCATCAGCAGTCCCAAGTGTTAGTCATGAATCCAAAGTCATACTGTAAACCTGTTTTGAAAAATAAAGGTTGAAAGCTCTTTTTTGTTCTTCTTCACTGCTGCAGATACAAAGGGTTTAAAGGCAACTGTGCCATTTCCTTCATTGACCAGTTTAAAGCTCTCCACCAGTGCAATAAGTATTGCGAGATGTTGGGGCTGAAATCCCTCCCAGGCCAGCGTCAAAAGCAGAGGAAACCAACAGCCGTGAAAAGCAAAGTCCCTCCCAACTCACCTCATGTGCAGAACGGAGCGGGCATCACCCAGGCCACCAAGACAACATAGGCTTCCTGTCTTCCAAGCACCGGTAACACTGCACCACTTAGCACGAGCTCCGCTCCAGAAGTGCACAGGTACTGAATGACATGACTGCGGAGTTAGCTGGCGCCTTCTGCAGTGTGCCATAGTTTTGAAGCCAGTGCTTTGGTAACAGCCACAAGGGAACCAGCTGTCTCTGTGGCTAAGCAAGCTACAATCAAGAAACAATGTTCAAAGCCAAACAAAGCTCTATCAGTGTCTCACTTGACTTTCAAGCATTTTTACATATGTCACCGTGTCTGTGTGTATCTGTGTATTTGCACATCTTGTGTCTTGATCTTTGTGCAGCAGATGGGTCACTACTGGAACATTTCTGTCCTCCCATCACAACTCCAAGATCCTTCCACCAGTGATACTGTGGCAGTCAGCAATTATTTAAGCCGTCACTTACTAAAGTTTTTGGACTAGAACTGAATACTGACAATGGGGTCAAGGATGTACGGGAATGATGGCTTTATTTCCTAACTCTTTGCACAGTTATAATCCTTACTAGACTCAGAGTCCTTGTATTTTTCCAATTAAATTCCTTTTAAAACAAGAGTAAGCCACATGGTTATTTGGATCATTGTACACCCCAAGGACAAACTCAAGGAGTTAGCAGCCACCTATGTTGCTTTCCTCATAAAGTTTGGTCACCCACCTGGAAAAATCCTGTAACTAGTATTCTTATCCATAGAATTTGTTTTCTTTCTGAAACTCATCCTGTGCCCAGTCAGATCTGGTTGCAAGATGGCCCTGAGGATCCAAGCTGTAGGATGCTGACCCCGATGCATACTGAATTCACTGGAAGCTGAGCATGGGCGGCAGATAACATAGGCTGGGGAAGGCTGAGCCTCTCTAAACTGCTTGACGTGGCCCTGTGCACACTCCACTCCCAGACTCCCTTCTGCCTGCATCCAGTTCCCGTTCCTCTCTTCCATGTCAGAGACTAGGGCGAGAGTCTCTGCTGCTAGGGCAGGCAGGCTCAGGGGGCTGGGGCCACACTGTACCACCTACCTGCCCCCCTAGGGGGGGCTGAGACCACATTGCCTGCCTGCTTACCAGTCCACCACCCGCCCGACACATTGGGCCTGGGGGCACTCTGGGGCTGAGTGCACATGGGGGGTGGGAGTGGCAGTGGGGTAGGTGTGCTGTGGGCACTGGTGCACTTGGAGGGGGCAGCTGAAGGACAGGGGAAAGTCCTCAGGCAGAGGAGGAAGGACTGGGAACTGCCCCTTCCCCTTAGGTCCTGCCCTGTGCTGCAACTTACTCCCTAGAGCCTGTGATAGAAATGTAGCCGTGTTAGTCTGGTGTAGCTAAAACAAAATACAGTACTATGTAGCACTTTAAAGACTAACAAGATGGTTTATTAGATGATGAGCTTTCGTGGGCCAGACCTACTTCCTCAGATCAAATAGTGGAAGAAAATAGTCACAGCCATATATACCAAAGGATACAATTTAAAAAAATGAACACATATGAAAAGGACAAATCACATTTCAGAACAGAAGGGTGATGGGGGGGAGGGAAGGAAGGTCCCCCTTAATTAATTACCTTACCCATTACAAAGATAGCTTCCCCAATTATCACCTCTAATATCATTAGCTCACAGACATTTACCTCCCCCCCCCATCCCCCTTCTGTTCTGAAATTTGATTTGTGCTTTTCATATGTGTTCATTTTTTTAAATTGTATCCTTTGGTATATATGGTTGTGACAATTTTCTTCCACTATTTGATCTGAGGAAGTGGGTCTGGCCCATGAAAGCTCATCACCTAATAAACCATCTTGTTAGTCTTTAAAGTGCTACATAGTCCTGTATTTTGTTTTCCCTAGAGCCTGTTCCTCTTCCCCTCCCCCTCCCAGAGTGTTTTTTCGCCCCTACAGCCAGCAAAAAGTGGAAGGTCATTTTCTCTCCTCCTCTGACAGTAACTATGATAAAGTTAAATTTCATTTTAATTTAATAGAGACAATTCCAGGAAAACCTACCACTGTAGCATTTAACTTCAAAAGGGAGAGCTATACAAAAACAAAGACATAAACTAGAAGGTAAAAGAATAGAATTAGTTTCCATACAGCTTTCATATGTTTATATTAAAACACCATAATTAAGGTACAAACTACAGGTTTACCCTACATTAAAACAAACAGAAAAAAAAAAAAACACAGTAAGAGGACAAAACATGCCACCTTGGCTAAATAGCAGAGCAAAAGAGATTGTAAAAACATCTTTTAAAAATTGGAAGTCAAATCCTGGAGAAGATATCAGAAAGGATTACAAACACTGCGAGCCAAGCATACAGAGTAATTCAGCAAGGCAAAAATGAATTGAATGAGCAATTAGCCAAAGACACACAAACTAACAGTAACAAATAATTTCAAGCACATTAGAAGCAGGAAATCTTCCAAACAATCAGCAGGGCCACTGGACAAGTGCTAAATTAGCACTGGTAATTGAATTATTTTCACCTGCCATCCTTATTGCCCAGGATGTGAGCATGGGCGGCGGGCAAAAGCCCAGCTGGAGAACCCAAGGTTTTGCCCCTGGAGCCAAGCCCTGCATACCCCCAGCCCAATCCTTCCTGGCCATGTGGAGAGTCAGGGATGCCATGCTGCAGCCCCAGTCCCTTTCCTCCCCAGCAGCAGGGGGAAGCCAGGCTACCACGCCACAACCACATCCCTCCCAGGCAGCTGTGCAAAACTGGGCTGCAATCCCTCAGCCCTAGCCTTCTCTGGCAGCACCCCCAACCTTAGGAAGTCCGGCGTGTAGGCAGTTTTAGGAAGGCTGTGCCTTCCCTTGCCTACATTACCGACCTCCCGTGGAAGTGAGGGAGATTCCCAGATAAGAATCATTTCTTTTAATTCATCAGAACCAGATAGTATTCACTCAAGGATTCTGAAGGAATTCAAATATGAAATTGCAGAACAACTAACTGTGGTATATAACCTATTGCTTAAATCAGCCTCTGTACTAAATGACTAGAAAGCAGCTAATATTTAAAAGGGCTCCAGAGATGGATCCTCACGATTACCAGTAAACCTAACTTCAGTACCAGGAAAATTGTTAGAAATTATAGTAAAAAACAGAATTATTAGAACCAAAGAAGAGCATGATATTTTGAGGAAAAATCAACACTACTTTTGTAGAAATCATGCCTCAGCAATCAACTATAATTCTTTGAGAGTGTCAACAAACATGGGGGCAAGTTGATAGAGCTGATGAATTGCACTTGGACTTTCAGAAAGTCTTTGACAAGGTTCCACACCAAAGGCTCTTAAACAAACTAACCTGTCTTGGGATGAGAGGGAAGGCCCCCTGGTAAAAAATAAATGGTTGGTTTTCACAATGGAGAGAGGTAAAAAGAAGGGTCCCACAAGCATCTTTACTGGACTTCAAATATCATAATTGATCCAAAAAAGGGGACAAACAGTGTTGTGGCAAAGTTTGCAGAATATATAAAATTACTTAGTTCAATCCAGAGATGACTGTGAAGAGTTACAAAGGGAATTCACAGAACTGGGTAAGCGGGCAACAAAGTGGCAGATGAAATTTAATTCCACGTAGTGAAAATTAGGAAAAAATAATCCCAAATATACATACAAAATGGAAGGGGTCTCAATTAGTTGTTACCACTCAAGAAAAAGATCTTGGAGTCATTCTGGATAATTCTCTGAAAGCATTCACTTCAAGCCAGCAGCAGTCCTAAAAACGAACACAATGTTAGGAACTGTTAGGAAAGAGAGAGCATGACAGAACACATCATAATGCAACTATAGAAGTTTTGGTTTGCTCACTGCTTGAGTGCTGCAGGCAGTTCTAATTGCTTCATCTCAAATAATACTAGACTAGGAAAAGATACAGAGAAGGGCAACGAAAATGGATAGGGGTATGGGACATCTTTTGCATTCAAGAAGAGATTAAAAAAGACTAGAACTGTTCACTTTAGAAAAGAGATAGCTAAATTGGGATTGGATAGAGGTTTATAATATCATGAATAGTGTGAACAGACTTGCCAACAGCAATGCTGGGTCCAGGACAGGATAGTCAATGGGCCCCCATGCAGTCCACCTGTCATTTGGGTAGTGCTGTACCTCTGCTGGCTGGTGCCCAGAGAGCTGCCGGTTGAACTGCTAGAAGCACTCTTCTGGCACATCCAGGGCTTCCATATGCCGACTCAGTAGGGTTGCCAACCGTCTAATCAGGCAAACCCTTGTTCTGCCTCTTCCCTGAGGCCTTACCCCTGTTGCCACCCCTTCTCCAATGCCTCACCTCCCTAATCACTCCATCCCCCTCTCCCTCCATTGTTTGCTCTCCCCCACCCTCACTCATTTTAAGGAGTCCAGGACTTAAGGAGTCCAGGACAGCTGGCAGGATTTTAAAGAAGCCTTATTGAAGGCACAGAAAGAAACCATCCCGACGCATAGCAAGAGAGGCAAACATGGTAGGAGACCGGACTGGCTTACAGGGGAAATCCTTGGTGAACTTAAGCACAAAAAGGAAGCTTACAAAGAGTGGAAATTGGACGAAAGACCAGGGAGGAGTTTAAAGGTATAGCTCGAGAATGCCGGGGGGTTATCAGGAAGGCGAAAGCGCAAATGGAGTTGCGACTGGCTAAGGATGTGAAGGATAACAAGAAAGGTTTCTACAGGCATGTTAACAAGAAGAAGGTGATCAGAGAGGGTGTGCGGCCCCTAATGGATGAAGGAGGTAACCTAGTGACAGATGATGTGGGGAAAGCTGAAGTAGTCAATGCTTTCTTTGCCTCTGTATTCACGGACAAGGTCAGCTCCTGGACTTCTGCGCCAAGTGACACAAGATGGGATGAAGATGGACAGCCAGTGGTGGGTAAAGAACAGGTTAGAAACTATTTAGAAAAGCTAAATGTACATAAATCCATGGGTCCGGACTTAGTGCATCCGAGGGTACTGTGGGAGTTGGCAAATGTCATTGTGGAGCCTTTGGCTATTATCTTTGAAAAGTCGTGGAGATCGGGAGAAATCCCGGATGACTGGAAAAAGGCAAATGTAGTGCCCATCTTCAAAAAAGGGAAGAAGGATGATCCAGGGAACTATAGGCCGGTCAGTCTTACCTCGGTTCCTGGAAAAATCATGGAAGGGATCCTAAAGGAATCCATTTTGAGACACTTGATTCCACCACCTCCCTTGGCAATTTATTCCAATATTTGACCACCCTGACAGTTAGGAATTTTTTCCTAATGTCCAATCTAAACCTCCCCTGCTGCACTTTAAGCCCATTACTCCTTGTCCTGTCCTCAGAAACCAAGAGGAACAAATTTTCTCCTTCCTCCTTGTGACACCCTTTTAGATATTTGAAAACCGCTATCATGTCCCCCCTTAATCTTCTTTTTTCCAAACTAAACAAGCCCAGTTCATGAAGCCTGGCTTCATAGCTCATGTTCTCTAGACCTTTAATCATTCTTGTCGCTCTTCTCTGTACCCTTTCCAATGTCTCCACATCTTTCTTGAAATGTGGCGCCCAGAACTGGACACAGTACTCCAGCTGAGGCCTAACTACTGCAGAGTAGAGCGGCAGAATGACTTCACGAGTTTTGCTTACAACACACCTG